ATTGAATGAGGATATCGAATATTCAGTCAAGAAAGAGAGTAAAGGAGAGTTAGGTGATCTCTTGAACAAATCACCATTAGGGCGCCTTGATAGGTTCATCAAGAGCAGGGAGGAACAAGGGAAAACAGAGGGTTTCCCCCGTGGATCGACCCATGACGAGATCCTATTCGTGGGCCCATAACACCCAAAGATAACTTCTATCCAAAAAAGGAAAAAACAATGATAACATCAAACTAAAGCTATGTTTGATTAAAAATCTACTCCAAAGAATCATTATTTGAAGAATAAGTTATGAGCCAAAAATCATTCTTTTTTAAAGTTAGATTTTCTAGCTCAAAAGAATCAATTCTCAGAATTAATTTTTAGACCAAATAAAAGGAATTAGTTGCAGAAAATTTTGTACATCCAAAATTGAAAATGATTCTTAGAATCACAAAATTCATCAGAATTAGTCCTCTGAAAGCATGAAAGCAATGGTAGACTCTACTTTTGTTTTCTGAGAAAGGTAAAGTATATTTAAATTACTGTGGGAAAAATGGGAGAAACTCCCAATACAGTGAATGACTGTACGTGATATGTGAATTCACAAACTTCAAAAAGTGATCTAATTACAGAATAATGTGTCAGCTATGATGGTTGAAGTTGTAGCCCAAGAGATGATCTTTGCAGTTACACTATAGCAGATTTCTTCAATTTGAGAGTTTTTTTTTTCAAAAAAAAAAAAAAAAAAAACTTTGCAGTTCCTCTCAATTCAAATGGACCACAAGACAGAAGCAGGCAGCAGGTGCCAAATGATCCTTTACTACCTAAATCTGCAACTGCAACAGTCCATGCATCTTTCTAGAAAATCATGGGTTGTCTTAGGAAGACACAGCTCAATTGTAGACTCCCAAGGAAATGAGCCCAGATTTGTCTGCTCAAAGGGCAATACAAGACAAGATGACCATCTGTCTCCAAATCAAGATTACAAAAAGAGCAGTTGGTAGAAGCAATGTTTATACCTCTCTCGATTAGCTTATCTTTCATTAGTCATTTGCCAAGTTCAGCAATCCAGGCTAGAAAGTCCATTTTAGTTGGTATTTGCAGACAGATTTATGAAAGGAAGCTAGGGGTAGGAGAGATGGGTTGATAAATTATGGATTTAAAAACCATTCTTGTTCCACCTACAGAAGACTCTGCTGTCACCAGTGTTGGCATGCATCTGGTAATTTTGGAGCCTGACTAAACAGCTCCTCAAGCTGCTTGATTTCCCAGTCAAAAAGATTGCTGTCATCAGTGTTGGCATTAAGCTGGTAACTTTCTAGACTCTACACGAATCATCAACTGACCCCAAAACCAATATTGACCTCTCCCTCTTAATCTTCCAAAATCTCCACCTATTGCAGATGTTCCTAACACCACAACCATCGGCTATGATTTGCACTTCACCTTTTTTTTTGATAATTGAAAAATTTTATTAATAGAACAACCATATACAGAACAGTACAGGCATCCCAAAGAGAGGTGTGAGGTATACCTTCACCCGGAAAATACAAGCATAATGACTAAATTACAACTAAACCCAATGTTGATGACCTATTAACCCCTCGCTTAGCCAGTGTGTCTTCCATCCCATTAGCAGATCTTACCCATTGTATCTTTAAGGTCATAGTGCTGGTTAGCCATTTGAACGTCTTCATTAAACCCTTATAAACCCATATGACAGTCCCCAGTCTCTCTAACCACCTTACCAGCAACTTGGAATCCCCTTCAATGATTAGCTTCCCCATATTCAAGTTTTTTGCAATCTGAACCACTTGTATGCAAGAAATCCAGCGCTTATGGAGTCCTCCACTCCCATTAGACTCGAGAACAAAGCTACAATATTACCTGTTTTATCTTTTAATACTCCCCCTACACTAAAGGGGCCTAGATTACCCTAGCTGCTCCCATCAAAATTAAAATTTATGTATTCTTCAATAGGATGTCACCAAATCATATTTACCAACCTTTTAGAGGAACTTCTTGCCACCTCACGCCAATTTCTCCAAATATCAAGGAGAATTGTGCAAAAATGTCCACCGTTCTAATCCAATATGTTACCCTAGTCATAACACACTCCATTGTCTCCCTGTTTACAATGATTAAAACATCGATACGCCCAATACCCAAAGTTGGGTATTGATGTGTATCAATATGACTGATACTATATTTTTCTCATTTTCTTTACTTTTTTTTATTATTTTATAAGTATTAGAGGTACAGAGGCTATCATCCCAAAGGTTTTAAGTTTTTAAAAACTTTCTATATTGGTTTATCCATGTGTATTTGGGTGCACCAATACTGGGGGTATCGTATCAATATTTTAATCCTTGCTTGGTTCTTTCCTTCTCAAGAAAAATTCTTGCATTTCTTTCTTCCCAAATGGTCCACAATAATTCTACCCTTGTACATCTCCACATAATTCTTCCGCTTTTTTAGGACAAGAGAATGTTGTTGGATCAAACAACTTGTCACCTTATGTATCATGAAGAAGACTCAGAGTATTAAACCAAACCCAATGCCTACTGACCTATCAAATAGAGAGACTCATTGGATCAGACTGCACAAATGACTATTTCTCTCCATTCAGCTAATAGATTACTATCTCCATTCAACCTGCTAAGGAAACCAAGGAACATAGGACTGGACAGTTTGCATGTGGTGATTGTCTGATCAAATTCACATTGTGTGATCAATAAAACACAAAAACTGAAAATAATTGTGCACCTTAGGTTTTCTTTTAACTCATTATTGTTTTAATGAAAAAGGATCCATGTATCATTTTATACTCCCCCTCCCTACAAGGCTCAATTTTCCATTCTTTTAGCATTATTCGTTATGTTCCTTATTTTAAAACCAAGCTGTCAACTCTTCCATTACATAAAATCTTCTATTTCCTTGGGAGTAGAGAAGGTCTAGTGTTGAGTTAAATCCATTTCAATTGAAAAATACAAAAGAAACAAATTAGGGGTGTGAGAAAAAAGGTCCATGTCATTCTCTAACATCTAACTACATTTTCTTTTTTTGACCTCTTCCATATTAGTGAGGATGAAAGCTTTATCCTATCTGTAAAAAAGTAGCTACATCAGTCATTGGGGAATATTTCCGTTGAAATTATTAGGTGCCCAAAGAGTCCTAATTTCTTGTGGTTAGTATACATAGAACACATGGGATGTTCAAAGACATGACCAACCCCATTGGAGGTAATTCCCTAGATCACTTTTTAAGAGGGCTATTCGCATCCTCAACAATTCAGATTTGATTTGGCTCCCCATCCCCTGAAAAAGAAATAAAAGAAAGTAAAAAGGAAGTAGGGGAAACTTCACTTACCCCCACCTAAGAAATTTTAACTTCACCGTACAGTTGGAGAACAGTGATGGGGGAATACCTGGGAGGGGGAGGGGTTTAGGTGGGGGTGTTGAAAATTTTGAATTGTTGGTGTACAGTGGAGTTAAAATTTCTGAGGTTGGTTTCTGTGAGATTTTCCCAGAAAGTATCTTTTTAATCACAAAGACCCCTCCCAGGTACATTAAAAATAGGGAGAATGACTGTTCAGCCCACCCCAGAATTCTTAGCCCCACTGTACAGGTGGGATCAATCTCAACCGTGGATCAATGCTAAATCCACAGGAAGGATGCGGTTTATGGGGGGGGCTACTAGTAGACTATGGGGGGCTGTAATTTCAGATTTCTGTGGTGGAGTGCAGTGTACTTCACCGTTAAAAAAAGTAGTGCATCATAAAAGCTACAAGAGAATGAACCTGAGTACTATCAAAAATAGTTATAATGTTTATTTACATTCCCATCTCAAAATATGGTAAGTAATTTTCATATTGAGCTTCAATTGCATCCCAAAAGAAAACATTAGTGCATTATCATGCATTCTTTGCTTAACATTCCTAAAATATTTTGCAGGATTTGTTTGTGTACGGGGGTTTGACCAGAAAACCCGGGCACCACGCCCTCTCCAAGCCAGATTTCATTATCCAGCAAGTAAGTTGAACAGAACAAAAACACAACCAGTTGAATAGTAGGCCATGACACAGAGAAAGCAGTCAACACACTCCTAACCAGGATCTGTTTCAAGATCAGATCACTGACCAACATTGCTGCTGTAAAACTAATGGCACTTCCCCTAACATGAGAGGCATTGAACAGGTACTACTATTTCTGGATACTTGGAAGGGGGGAAACATAGGAGAGAAATTGTAAAATCCCATGACAAGTGGGTTTGTAGTCTGTACATGATTATTATTATGATTAATTTATTCTGTGCTCGAAAATGAGCCATTCTTCTTCTATTGAGCAGACAATATCAAAGAAGAAAAAAAAATAAAGGTGGAAATACATGTTATTCTGCATGCTCAAGGGGATTCTAACATTCGTGTTACATGTTAAATTTTGTTCTGTACAGTGCAAATACAAATATAAGGTTTTGCACTCTACATATTTGTATTTGTATTCCTTCCAAACTGAGCCGTAGAAACACAAAAGCCATCATCCTTATCCTTCTTCTAACTGTTATGACTTATGAGCAAGTGGAATTTTTCCTTAAACCTATGGAAAATCCTTACATGTGAAAGGAAAAGCTGAAATATCAATTGGCTATATCTTTTTTATTAGATAAGAATTTTATTAAAATCATACAAGGTCAGGATCCCTCTTAAAGTTAAAATCTGACCCAACCCGAGCATAATTCTACAGTGCTTCAATCAAAGCTAACAAGCTTAATTGCATCTCACGAGAAAATATGACAAATGGCCAATGCTGCAGCTAAACAGCAAGGCTTCTGTGATTGCTATACATGAGTAAAGAAAGCTTAATTTAACTGTCATGGAGAACTAACTAAACCTACCAAACTTATCTATCAAATCTGAAATAACAGTGATTTCTGCCGTTAAATGGCATTCTTTTAAGCAGGTTTTTTTTTTTATAAAAGAATTATTTGAAGCAGTCCTTTTCCTATCCTTATATGCATCACCTTGGATTTTTACTGGTCAAAGCTCTTCCTATTTTTCGGTTGCAATGCAAATGCGGATATATACACTATATATTTATTCATTTTTTGGTTCATGAATACAAATACGGTGCATATTTTAAACTGTTTTTGCATTCATCTTGTTTGTTTGAAATCGGTGCAAAAGTGTGGGCCCATCATTAAATGCTCCAATTATCTTATGCTTTAATGCATTAACTTTGGTCAAAAAGTTAATTATCAAAAGAACACAAAATTGTATCCAAAAAATAGATACAGTAAAGCTCTCTTGTCAGAGTACAAAAGTGTGAGAAAATACATTTTTGCTTTAATAACCATTATTTTTTCATATTTCAAACAAATTCTCGTAAATGCGAACCGGAGTACATAAATACCCCACTTGAGCATTTGTATCGCAAACAAATGGAGCTAGAATTAGTAAAATAAATAAGTTAAAGGCAAATAGCCGATTCTCTTGCAACCCATGTTCTGTACAAAGTTTTTACTTGCACGGAATTCCATATGAGAGGCTGAGGTTTTTCTATAGCCTATGATTCTCACATGCTAATATAATTTATTTAAAAAGTTATATAAAATTGAAGTTAGGAAAAAATGCAATGACTTTGGGAAAAGAAAATGTAGAACCTTTTTTTTGGTAATCGTAAAAGAGTAAATTTTGGGAAATTAGAAAGAATCATTGGTTGAGATTTGAGGTACGAGGTCCTGTCTATAGTAGTTTCATAAAGTTGTTAGACAGTTTTATATGCCCTTATCTTCAATTAGAATGATGTACTTTATGAGTTTATTGTAAATGAATAAA